ACCTTTAATTTGGACATCCTCAGTGGTTATAAAAATATAAAGTATATAACTGTCATCGATTTGTCAATACATAATTATACTGTTGAATATCCGCAAGTTTTAAAAAGTGACATTAATTTAGATGCTATTTTTAACGGTAATTTGAATATGTAAATTTTTACTGTAAGTTTAAATATTGAAAGTGACTTTTAAAAATCGAAATGTCTAAATTTTCATTTTTATAGGATATAAATTTTGAAAGATTAATTTCGCAATAACTACTAGCGTTGACTTTCACGCTCCTTTCTTATTATTAATTTATTCACAAAGTCTTGATCAATTTATAGATAATTTAATAGCAAAAATCAAAGTGATAACGGTGGTATTAAATTGAATAGATGTTAAAGTGGTCGACTTTAGATTGCTGTTTGCATCCAGTCTGAGATTCATCAGGGAAACTTCTCAGAGTCATCAGATTCGATTTTGCAGAGCGCGTGCTCCGTACCGAAGGCGGTCTGTGCAAACTTACCATGACTGCACGTGTGCGGGGCATGTCTACGAAGGAGGCAATCGGAGCGGCTGGCGTCGAGAGCGAAACTTGAAATCGTTGTCTCTCTCTTTCTCTCTTTTTTTTCTCTTTCTCTCGTTGTGTCGTTGCACCCTGCACAGTCAACACGAATCACATCATACGTAACACATACACACTGAGAGATGCGTGACGCAAACGCGCGCGTGCATACGCCTCCTCCACTTTTCCACACACAAGATTCGATACGCAAAATTTTCTACCTTTTCGAATCTCCGATACAATCGAGGAAGACTATCCGAAGGATTCCCGCGTGATTTTCAACATTGATACCGAGAGAAATCGATCAGTAGGTCAATGGGGGAAGAACGCGCGCCACCCCCTCGGAAGAAGCCACGTTTCCGGCGAACGCGTTTGCTTTTCTTTGAAGAAAGAACGCGTGGCCGGCTCGTGTACGATCACTAGCCAGTTAAGAAAGCAAGAGAAGCGACGGACGGATTTTCAACCTGGCGAACACCGACTGAGCCCACGACCGGCAGGTAGGTGAGCCGTTGCCCCTCCACCGATCGCTCGGTGCCGCACCACCACCGGTCGCCGCTCACCGTGTTCTCCATTCTCATTTCCTTCGCTTCACTTGCCTTCTGCCGCTCCTTCTACTTCTCTCCTTCTTCGTCCTCCTTCGTTGGCTTCGCTTCTCTCACCGCACGTACGCGCGTTCCCCTCAGAGTGGCTCAGAGACGGCTGTGCGTCGGGCGAACTGGGTGACCGCTCATGTGAAAGTGCATCATCGTGTTCGACTGTAACGATCGCGATGATGCACTTTCGTGAGTATCTTTGTAAATGCTTTCGTCGAGATCCTTACTGCAAAGACCTCCCACATTATAACGTTAGGCTCTTGCAAATCTTGAAAAAGGCAACTGGAAAGAGAGAGAGAGAGTTGTATAAATATACCATTTCTTGAATCGTCGAAGACACTTCTGTAAAAAAATCTTGCTTATTTCCGCCAGATTATGAAACATACTTTTAACGTCTATAAAATCTCCGTTCCTACAAATCTTTAAATCGAAGAAAAGATTCAAGCGCAAAAACAAGCATTCTGCATTAAAGAAAAGCAGAACTTTGTTCAGAAAGTATATTTCTAATATAGAAATTCTTACCGAGTTACTGACGAAACGCATCGAGATATCATAAAACATGACGTCCACCTTGAATTATAATTAATAATTTACAAAAGTCTCATGTTTACAGAAGCTTTTGCGTGCACAAGGGCTTCGTATTAGACTATGAGAAGGCTATAAGATTTCATCGCATGTTAAATATCTATAAGCGCTTTATCACCGAAGCCCTTGTATATACAATAGCTCGCTCAATGAAGTAGAGCCTCGTATTCATTAGTAGTAAATACATTGCCTAGGGCACCGTTAGTTCTGAAGCCGCCTCTGTCTCCCTCCGTACGCTCGTAGCTTATTAACGCACAAGCGGACCATAGTCATCATGTTCTATCTGCGTTAACGAGATTACGTCCCACATAATTATATGCCTTTCGGTGAAGGATTATTACGGTCAAACTATATGTAGCTACAATTTCAATATTTTGCATGAAATAGTAACAAATAGTTACAAATTTTTAAATGCAAAATACAATTGCTAATCTGTTCATTCTTGCATTATATAATTTAATATGCTTTTTTAATTAATTAATTTTAGGTGAAAATTTATAAAATCTACTAGAAGCTTTTTAAAAGCATGTATATATGTATAAGTGGAACATTAAACCTCGTTAATCACAATGATAGGAAAACAGGTTTGTTCAATTATTACAATGTGTATATCTATAACTATACATATTATTTTATTGATAGTCCTATGAACAAATTTAATGAGACGCGATAACAACGTCTTGCTTTGCTTCTTCTGCTTCTTCTTCTGCTTCGAGTGTTACTTTATCTTTAGACAGATACTGCTCAAAGTCAACTTTAAACTTTTCTGACGATGGCGAACACGTAATTCGAGCTCTATTAAAATATAATAATTATAATTATTGTTTATAAATGAGAACATGATCATTTTAATGTGAATTTTTAATGTTACCTTGTGATGAAAGGTCCTGGTCGACGTGGCCTCACTTTGTTGACATCCTTAATAATGGTAGCAAAATTCTCCTCCAACTGTTTTGTATCCATATCAAGCTATAATACATGAAATTGATTGGTAATTTTTTGTAAATCATATGATAAAATATATAATTAGCACCAATATCTATTTATAATAAATATAAAACATTTGTGTAAATAACATCAAGAATTTACCGTTCCAAATGCAACATCGACAGTTCCAAAAGACTTAAGAGTTTCATGTGGCTTTCCCGTATATCTCATACCAGTTAAAAATTTTGTTACCATTGTTTTTAAGTCAGTACCCAAGGTACCTAGTGGAACATTTATATGATAAAGAATATAAAACATTTATTTTAAAACAGATACAAATCGTTCAATTTCGTTTTCATAAATTTTGTACAAAGTTTGTATTTTAAATCGGACTAATAATATTTTTTAATTAGACATTACATAAGTTGCTTCACGTTTTACTAACAAAGCACGAAATTCAATGCGAAGCGTTTTTATAAAAACGCTTGAATTTCAGATATTACTAAGTGCATACTTTCTGTGTTACTATTGTGCTACATGTGTACTACTTTCTAACAATGTATTTATTATATGTACGTAGTATTTATGTAGTACACTCATGAAAAGCACAATATATTACAAAGATGAAAATTTAAAAGTATAATTACATATTTTCACTAACCTGATTTAGCACTGGGAAATTTTTTTCTCATAAGTCCTCTAATTAATAACAAATCAGGTAAAATAGTTGGTTCTGACAAAATAATATCATATTCTTTCATTGAAAATTGTCCATTCTAAAATAGAATTTCATCAATTATTAAACAATAATCTCTGCAAGCTTGTTATATGATATATAGTACATATAACAAGTGCATAAGCAATAATATGCTGTAAGAAATAATATCTCACCTGAATCTGTTTTATTAATTGTTTACCACCAACATAATCAGCTCCAGCACCTCTTGCAATCTCTTCCATTTCGAGACTCTTACAGAATACCAATAGTTTTCTGGTTTGACCATGATCGAATACATGTGGTAGACATACTATTCGTGTAAAAGGATCGACAAATTTTGTCTTTTTCGCACCCTGATAACATATAATTATACATTTAGCACAATCTTATATATCATATATATCTTATATATCTTACATAGACTTTGTTCTTCTTATTTTTACCTGCATATCCAATTCTAGAAACGCTTTTACAGGTTCATTTGGCAAATTATAAATAGTGGGATGATGCGTTTCACGATGATTCTGGACTGCTTCTTCAAATGAATAAATTTTCCATTTATGATATTTTGAAATCCATACATTATCTATTGGTTCGGACTTCTTACTATCATTTGGTGAAATATCCTTTAGCTCGAGTGTCTTTACACCTGTACTAATATCGCAAAAGTGCAATATTGATGTTAATATATTAATACACATATTTTCATATATATGATATGAAGATGTGCTCACGTTTTCACTCTCTGATCGTGCGGGATGAAGCCTACTTTTTCAATAACCTTTTTGACTTTTTTCTTTCTTGCTTTTTCTCTCGTACCCTTTCTGGCAGCATAATTTCGCGCTTGTAGGAAACTGATTAAGGGATAAAAATTAAGACACGATGCGTATCTATACGTCGTGGAAAGATTGTTTAATAACCAACCTGTAAAACGAAATGATTTTTAGAAATGATTTTTATAACATCTTAATTATTGTACTGAATGAAAAATTGTAATTTTATTGTGAGGTTATGTACAAGAATTCTCATGAAAAAAGCACCAATTGGAAATCTTTTTGTTTGTTAAATAACAAGCAAGAAAACATTTAATTAGTTATTTTTTCATATATTATTAATGTAATATTAAAAGAGACAAGACAAGGCATGTACCATTAACCGCTGCCATGTTTTATCAAGCACAAGAACAAGCAGAAGAAACGGAGCATGAACTAATTGCTCCATAGATAGCGCCGATAGCGATTCGCACTTTTACGACATGGAACCTGTTCTTTTTAACTGAACTTCTTGCACTTTTTTTCTTTTTCCCTTAACGTGGAGAGAAAAGGAAGAAAAATGAACCGTGTAATTTTTTAAAACAGACCTATGGCTGCTTCCTTCTTTATTATTTATTAAAGGACAAATGTGATGTATCATGCGCTTCATGTATAATTCGAAATTGCTCGAAACGCATCTAAAAATTACTTTAATCAGTTTTTAAAAACATCATGCTATCTCGATTAATTACTTCAAATTTTTAATTATTACTTAGCTATCCAATTTATAAATATTTTAAATGCGTTATTCTACATCCATATCTATATTTTGAAAGTATCTAACGAGTTCATCTACTTCGAAGAGAATAAACAAAACATTTTTTTCGTATTTCAAGCTCGTTTTTTATTAATGAATCATAATTATAATTATTTAGCTTTCTTGCTCTTAATCTTCCTCATATAAAACTCAAGCTCCTTGCCCTCAAGAATATAACCGTCAGCTCTACCGCACTGTCCAGGCCTGCTTGCTATACAAGCTAAAAATGAGAAAATAAAATTATTAATTCTAAGTCACGTTAAATTTAAAATATGTGTATATAAAAGAAAATGAAGAATATCTTATTAAGAATATTGATTTAAAGAGTAAAACATTTCTTTAACACTCATTTAAAAAGAAACGTTAATCTATTCAAGTACATGTTCAAATTAATTTTGTAAAAAATTAAAAGTATTAAAAATGTTCATACCAAGAACACGTCCCGTTGCAAATTGTTCTTCCAAAGCAGGTTCAACCTTGGCAAATCGTTGTCTTGCCTTGTATTTGGATTCTGCTTTTTTAGAACGTTTTTTATTCAATACTTCTTCTTCAGCTTCCGTCTAAGAAAACAATTATGTTCCATTTTATATATCATATACATATAATATTCCATAAATTTAAATTAAATTATATTTAAATACTCACAAGTTTAGCGCCTCTCTTGCGACCCAGTGGCAGTACATAATGACCTTCATACCACTGTCTAAAAGGTGTAGCATCGATGGTAACAATGGCGTTCTTCACCAAAGTTTTGGTTCGTACTAGTTCATTATTTGACGCATTGTAAACAACGTCAATAATACGAGTCTTCCTGGTACTGCATTCAGAACCCCAGGAAAAGTTTCCAGCGTCCAATCTAAGTGCTCTGTATTTTTTATTACCTCCACGTGTACGGACCTAGTATATATACACACACAATAAAATAGATATGTTTATAACTAATTTCAACATTAAATATATGTACTTATAAAGTATACGTCAGATCGCTGTGAGATTATGAACAATCATGGCACTCAGAGTAGGTAAGGATCATCATTTTATAACTTCATAGTAAAGAATGAATTATTAAAATATTTTTTCATGAATAATTGTAACAGTGTATATGACATCACAATGACAATGATTGCGTTCCATTTAACGCTCATGTAATCATTTTATCCTTGTCATTTATCAAATGTTAAACAAGGATAAACGATACATGCTTACAAATTAGTAACTAAACTATAATTCTGTTCATTATGATATTGATATTTATTATATTAATGATATTGAGATTTATTCTACCTCCATTAACTAATGCTTTACTTTTATAATTCCATCATAATGAAAGTTAAGTTTGAGAAAATTAAACTTACAGTATGAATTCGCTGTGGGCCAAGTTTGGTATTTGCAGCTGGACGTCCCAACTCAAATTTCCTCTTCTTGCGAATGGGCTTCCTTTTTCCACCAGTGGCTCTCCGCTTATGCCAGTGATCCCGAGAAATACCTACAATGCAATATTGATAAAATAACTTAGTAAACTCTCGAGCTTCTTAACTTAAACTCATTAAAAAACTACTTTAAAAGAAAAGTTAACCTAACCAAGCATCATATCACATTGCGCTACAAATCTTTTTCTGTACAGATTAGAGAAATTAATAAATGCATGGACAATCTACAATATTTACATTTGTTTAAAATGTAGATTTCGCTGTTAAAAAGAGAAAATACTAATCACGAAAGTGTCACGAGTTCGACATGGCTATGCTCGACATCGACAAGCGTCGAGCCAGTTTTCACAAGCCCAGGTCGAAAGGACGAAAATAATATTCCTTGCCGACAAAAGGATGATATCTGATTTACGCGCCGATTACGTTTCATTGCGATATCGTGGAGAGAAAGTTTAGATTCGTAACGATGAAAATTAATTTCAGTAAAATCATGTTACTTACCCATCTTGCCGCGATGGAGAAAGAACTTAAACTATCAGAATACTAGAGAAACCACTTCCAATCATAAGACGACACATGGCGGAATTAAAAAGTTTATATTCCGGAGATGCGCAGTAACCAAATAATGACGTCCACGCATTTTGCTCTTAAATGCAACTCACATGGGATGCTTTCGGATACTTTCCATTTTTATTAATATATATACTTTGTTTATGCTTCGATTTTAATTCTAAAATTCAGCCAATAGGATTGCCAGTCTTAATTAATCTGACTGAAATCTTCATTTACTGGATTTACACGGGATTGCGTTCGGATTCGAATTTGATGCTTTATGCGTTATGCAAGAGTCTGTGCTCCCCGCTTTAATATTTATAAAAGTTTGTGCAGAGAAATAAATTTCATTTCTGTTCCCTTCTTCATGCACATCACGTCTCGTGTCGCATGCTCGGTCTATCTATACTATGTCTATGGTTTTTGATTTTAATACACTATACACTTCTATATAAGTTTTGAATCTATGAACTTCTGAAGGTTGAGCCGATTAAGGTTATATTTTAAATGTCAGATGCAGTCAGATATTAGTTAAATAACTCAATATGTCTTTGTATGATGATTTTGATAAGCATCGAACCACAGAAAAAGTTGCTGGATGGTCTTCCGGCATTAAATTATTGCAATCGCAGTTGCAACTAAAAAAGGCTGCTACTACACAAGTAAATCTGCCTTAATCAATACATATTAAATAATTACTTAAAAAATTAATTTTCGATGTAATTTTCATTTGTTAAAAATAAGCTTCTAATTGCTATTTATAAATTCAGCCAAAACGTGAACAAAACAGGAAAGCTTCTGCAGTATTAGCACCAGTGATAGATTTGAAGTCGAAAGCTAATCGTGACGTTGACAGAGAGGATGACAGTACTCATAACAATCCATTATCCAGTGGTAGCGTAAGCAACATAGGAGTAGGTGGCGAATTTGATTGGAACGTAGTGAATGAATATGATCCTATATGGCCTAACGAATATGAAAAAGTTGTGAAAGAATTACGTGATATCAGGGATAGAGAACATGATCAAGAGACAGAAATGCGCAAACGCCGGAGAGATAGTACTCGCTTTGAAGATACTCAGGTAATATATAATCCGTACAAAATTACTTTAAAAAAAAGGTAAAACAATGATGCTAAATAAAAGAAAATGTAATCCAAGAATTACTATCTATAATTCTTGTACAATAAAACCTAAATATATATTTTTGTATTTCTATTGAAGGTTCTTAAAAGTTTTCTATTCCAATTCTAAATCTTTAATTCTTTTAAATTTCTTAAAAGAAATTATATCACAGTCTATTCAAAAACACTTTATAAATAATAAAATATAATGATAATTTAAAAATGATAATGAACTTAATATAAATGTTATACTAAATAAAAAAGAAGTATTATAATAATATTAACATTTTATGTTTGTAAACAGATTGCTGGTGGAAATAGTGCAATGATACCTCCTGAAAGAGATGAGGAGAGAACGCCAACCTCGAGAGCTATGGTAGGAGGTGCTGCTATAGCACCACCACCATCCTTACAAGAATCTGCAGAATTGCCACCTCCACCACCACGACAGCCAACTAATTTGGGCTATTCAACATCGTCTGTAGCAGCAAAAATAATGGCCAAGTATGGCTTTAAAGAGGGGCAGGGTCTTGGCAAAAAAGAACAGGGCATGTCAGTAGCATTGCAAGTGGAGAAAACCAGTAAACGTGGTGGTAGAATAGTTGGTGAAAAAGAACAGTTAATGCCTCCACCACCACCTGTTACAGCTTCTCCACCACAAATGCAATTGCAATTACCATTGCAATCACAGCCCCAGGAAGAACCTACCATTACCGAGATAATGAAACGTCCAAGCAAAGTCAGTACAATATATATATAAATATATTATATATAATAAGCATTTACATGTTACAAAATTATTATCATTAATTATTTATTATTAATACGTTTTTACTATTAATTTATGTAAATGTGTTATGTTTAAATATATCTTTTATAATTTTGTATACCTTACATAGTTTAAAATACATATTTATAATCTAAATTACATCTGTCATTTTAGGTTGTTCTCTTGCGCAACATGGTTGGTCCTGGAGAGGTCGATAACGATCTTGAACCGGAAGTGAAAGATGAATGCAACACTAAATATGGTGATGTTGCACGTGTTATTATTCATGAAGTGATTGAAGCTTTACCAGAGGAAGCAGTACGAATTTTTGTTGAATTCAAGAGAATAGAGAGTGCTATTAAGGCCGTAGTTGATTTAAATGGACGTTTCTTCGGTGGTAGAACGGTCAAAGCAGGATTTTATTGTAATGAGAAACTTGATAACTTACAACTAATGGATTAATTGTCTGTAAGAAATTCAAACTCTGTTCTTCACAAATTGTATAAATATTTTATATTTCTACGTAATATTAGCAAATTATTGAAAAATAAATTTTTTCTAATTATAATGTATAGAATTTATATTTTCAATATTTACAATTATGAAATATATATTACAAGATGAAATTGGACTCAAACAATTTTAAATTAAAATAAATAATAGGACTAATATAAAGGACTATGAACCAAGCGGCATGTTTGTTGCTAAATACTAAATAATAAAATTTTTACATAAATTAAAGCACAAACATTTTGACCTCTATCGGGTCATTTTTCAGTGTGAATACAATTAATTGTTTAAACAAAAAAACGGTAATATTATACAAAAATTGGACAGTTAAGTCTATAAAATTAAATATATGATAAAATATGATTCTATTAGTGATTTAAGCAAGTGCGAAGTAAATGCTCGATATAGACGCGATGATATCGTGTAACGAATGCAATGATGAAATACCGTAAAAAAGAGAAGGAGGAAAGAAAAAAAAATGAATAATTTCATATATGAAGTTATTCTATTTGTACATTTATTTATCCCACCGTTTACAAAATAGGAATATTTATTTAGTAAAAGAAGCAGTGAGACATAAGAAATAATTATTTATATGTTCATTTATATATTTATTTATTTAATTATATATTCATTTATTTATTTATTTATGATTTCTTCATGAATAGTTTTCTGCTTATCTCCATTATTATTTCTATCATCATCATTATTATCCTTAATGCTGCGCTTTCCTTTTCCTCAACTTATTCTTTTACAACATAGAAGCATCTCCCAGATGAATTGATTGAATTATACTTATATATTAATATTCTTCCACCTTCACTGTTTCTAATTTCCACAGTTGTTAATGAAGCACTCATCAGAACAATAGATACAAAAAGGACTGTTCTACAATAGAGTCGTAAGCGGTAAGCCATAAGAAATTAACTAATCATAGTCGATTATTCTTCTCACACTTAACTGCGATTGGCCAATTTCTTACAGCTTACGACTTACGACCCTATTGTAGAACAGGCACTCGTAGAAACGAGTGTGTTCTATTTAGTTGTAAAAGAAGAACTAACTATATAAGAAATGCAGCTAAAAGGAACAGACCATTGACTAGAAGTTAAGTCAGTAAATCGAATATGCTATTCTATGTATGTTATAAGTTTATGACATTGTGAGCTACAGAATATACACTTTTGATTGTGATAATGGTTGGATATTGTCGTATTTGCAAAATAGGAGTAGGAGAGGAAATTGATGTATCCATTCATCGGTAAATATATTTTTACAAATATAGAACATATATGTCATAATCGTTATAAAGTGTTAACTCAGTAAATGTATACATTTATTGTTGTTTGCTGTAATTGTCGATTGGTCAGTGTATACATTTACTAAAGTTGACACTTTAATTGTGATATAGTGACAAATACATAGAAAATAAATAATAAAGTTATGTATCAAAAAAATATATGACAAATTTTGTCAAATGATACATTCAAAATAAAACATGATTTTTTATTATATGTAACGGAATAAAATTAATTTCATTAGTATGAACTATGATTGGTTTGTTACATTTTACACAATTTCAATAGCTTAATATAAGATAAATATAAATAATTTAATAATAGACAAATATAAATAACTTAATAATAAACAAATATAAATTTAAGATCATTCATTTGTGATATAGATTTACAACATCAAACAACTTTTTCTTATTTTTATTTTCAACTTAGGTTTTTCAATTTAATTTATTTTTACGTAATATACGCAATTAAAGATCTTGATAAAGATTTCGAAATCAGTAAATCAAATCAATATAAGTTGAAGCAATATTTAGACATCAATAAAAAATTTAATCGAATAAATAGTGAATTAAAAAGTATCAACTTTGAATTGTCAAAAATAGAAAGAAAAACCTGTTTAATTTAAATAATCAAATCTCAAAAATTGATTTTATAAAATATCTCTTAATATAATTTTGTCAATAGAATATCAGCATAGTATTCTGTTATATACATATGTATGAAGACAGAGTTAACTAGATTTTTGCTTAAAATCTGTTATCAGACTATGTTAATAGGATTTACTGAAAGAACATGAGCTATTAATGCAGTTAATATTACAATGTTTTGATCAAATTTACTGATAAACTACTAGCATGTTACTAATACTTTGTTTATTAGATGTTTAATCGTATATGCGATTAAACATCATACATTCTCTCAGCTTATATTAGTCATAAATTACATTTTTTTTTTATATGTAAGATAAAGTACAGATATATGAAAAATTAGATAACAGAAAAATTTTTAGTTATTTTAATAAAATTAATTTTGAAAGCATTTTATGAAAATTTATAAATAAAATAATTTATAATATATAAAATATATAAATAAAATAATTTATAGTATAAAAATATTTATGAATTAATTTATATATTTTTAAGGATGCCAAAAGATGAAAAGATTAAAGCAATTTGGTTTGAATTTATTGGTCGTGAATTAGGTCCAAACAGTGGAATTTGTAGCAAACATTTTAAACAATCTGATTTTATTTACAAAACATATGGAAATGGTGTTAGACGATTCCTTAAACAAGGAGCATGTCCATCTATATTACATGTCTCAAATATTAGGTAACTTTCATAGTATAATATATATAACATTTAAAAAAATATAATAGAATATTATATATTGATACTTATATAATTTAGGAAAAACATAGAATTTTCTGGAAATATTTCATCGAGAACTGAAAGAGATACTGATCCTGAAAAAAATATAATAATAAAAGAGGAACAAGAATGCATTATAGATGAAACTGTAATAAATACAGAGAATTCAATGGATATTCAATTCAATAGGTTGGTTCACATAATAATCATTTAAATTTTAGTTTTATAAAAGACTTCCCCGTTTTATTTTTAGCGAAACTAATGATCCTTTAATCATTATGGAACATAATACTAATTTGGAAACAAGTACAATATTAGGAAATGAGAGACAAGAATTCATAAATATAGATGAAACAATAAATACAAATTCAACAGATATACAATTGAAAAGGTTAATTTATACACAATAATAGTAACTTACTCTCATACAAATTTTTTATAATAATTCATCAGTATATAAATATGGGATGATTTGAAAAAACCTTCTCATTTTTTAGAGAAATTGATCCCTTAGCTATTACAAAACATGATACTGATTTGAAAACAAATACAATATTAGAAAATAGAATACAAGAATTCATAAATATTGATGAACCAATCAGTACAAATTCTATACATCACTTAAAAAGGTTGGTCGTTCTTTCATACATATATAATATCTAATAATTTCATCTCTCTATACAAATTTTTATGTATATTTTAAATAAGTCTCCAAAAATGTAAAGTTTGATAAAATCTTTGTTTTATTTTTAGAAAATTAAATAATTCCTTAACTAGAAAACGCTTCTACAATGCAAGATACATTGGAGATTTATGTCGAGAGGATTTCACTTCGAATGAAGCTTGGTATTTATTTAAAAACTATTTAACAAATACAAAAACAAAAATAAGGTCTTTGAATCATAAAATTATACATTTAAATAAAAAAATCGATAGGTTGCAAAAGATAAATCATGTTTTATAAATAGAAAGAATATAGCAGAATATGTATACGAAATTTATCTCCACACTCCAAATTAGATTTACTCTATATCGAGTTAGTATATTTTGTCATTTTTTTGTAGAAAAAAATGATATACCATACATGTAGTAAAAAGAAATCCATTATTTTTCCAATAGATGGCTTTAATAATCTGTATCTCGTCTACGCGTGATACAGATTACTAAAGCCATCTATTGGAAAAATAATGGATTTTTTTTTATTACACCTAATATGTATGGATATATATATGATAATTTTATATATTTTTATGTAATTAAATATATTATAAATGTATATAATAAATATATTAATACATATAATTTTAAATATATATTAATAAATATATATTATTGAAACATTTTTTCACCAAAAATTTCAAGATTAATGAGAGTTCAGTGCAGTTTATGATGCGCAAATTCATGTCATTTATTTCATTACAGGTAGGATAATATCTTCATAATTGATTCCAAATTGAAATTAAATGTTTCAACTCACTTTGAGACCCTCTTCAGCAATATACAAATACAGTGATATCAAAATGGTTCACTAGTTTAAAATAAACTAATTCTAAAAAATGAAGTAGTGTCTACTTCGAAAAATTACAATAAGTTATAAAATTGATAATCTAATAATGTATTAGATATCAAAATGACTCACACTAACAAACTGAGAACATGTCAAGAAACTTGGATAAATTTATAAACTTAATAATTTCATAAAGTGATGTGAAAAATACATCATTGTCAGTACATTTTGCTCTTTCGGAAACTAAATTATAACTGTACATTTGTGTTTATCGAATTGACATAAGTTGTAACGTAAACAATAATTAAATATACATAAATAAAGAAAAAGAAAGTCGATCTATTTAATCAAATAGCACGCGATGTCGCATTAATGTCGTATTCGAAAAGTCGCACTCATATGGAATGCACTGTTATATTATATATTGCGATATACTGCATACATCTACATTATATCTAATAAAATATCAAAATTTCTTATATATTCTTATGATATATTCAAAACATATATCAAATATACTGAAAATATACATAAAATATCTTATGGCTTACAGTATTACTTTTGAGGCTTTCACGGATATTTTCTTTAGAGATGTTAAGGAGTTTGCGGATTATCGCGGTGTTGTGATTTATTGGCTAACACTAACGCTTTGTGAACCTTGCCTATCATTTCATCAGGGCGTGTTTTTCAAACAACACGAAAGGTTTGTCAAATTATGACACAAGACATCTTTTAAACACAAAAAACTTAGAACCTGATTTTAGACACTTTTTGTTATCTGAGTTTATACTGATCAGCTGCATCTCCCTCCAGATGACTCCCTATTTATATAAACTTTGTTAAAGGGGGGAGGGGGAAAGCGTGTTCTATATTCTACTTATGTTATAGCTCATATTTCTGTTTAGTTATCTAAATATTTCTGGATTTTTCTCTCCCTGTACTTCCTTGGAAAATAGGATGCCATTGTAGATATAGTAGTCGTTATATTAAATAGTGTCCTAACTTAATGCTGTGTTCTGCCAATGTTAAATGTCTGAAATATTTCAAACTTGGCAGATTAAAATCAATCCCGCGCCTATCAACAATTGTCGATGTCGATACTAACGATAATGAATAGACACGTTCAAATTGACAAAACGCTAGCCTATTCGCCGGCAAATGAACATGATTGGTTGTACTTATAAACCTAATCAATCACATTAAGTGCATTCAAAAGCACGACCGCTCATCGAGTGCTCAGGGAGCTCTTTCATTTGATTGGTCTACATTTTAGAATCTAACAGAATACGCCAATCAAATAAAAAAGCTTAGTGTTTTGAGTCTTTAAAGTTGGCGGATTAGTGTTCCAAAAATCTAGCTTGATTTGGTCATCCTACCTTGAATTTCTGAACGCATCCCAATTCATGATGTAAAAGAAAGCCTGTCCCAATTATTTATGTCGCGGTAATTTTGTACTTTCCAATAAATACGTAATAATGGCCGTTTAACGGATTATTCGTGAGTACGATGACACGCGTCACATTTTTACATCCCGATCTCGGTATCGGTGGCGCGGAGAGGCTCGTTGTCGACGCGGCTCTAGCATTGAAGAAGAATGGCCACGATGTAAATTTCGTGACAACTCATCACGATCCGGAACATTGTTTCTCAGAAACTAAAGATGGGACGATTCCCGTTACCGTTGTGGGCAATTGGCTGCCTAGGCACATTCTAGGCAGGTTCTATGCGTTCTGTGCTTATATACGCATGGTAAGAAGTTGAGTGTAGTCTAATAAGAGATACAAATGACATGGTGTAATACAACAAATCATATATTCTTCGTTTGTCAATATTAAATGAAGATAAAATGATTCAGTCAGTAGTGTGTCACACTATACCTCTGTGTCTCTTATTGAAAAGCATATTGTTAACACTGAAATAACAGTAACAATAATTGAGAAAAATCTGTTTTAAAAAAATCTCGATTAAAAGAATTGTCTGTGTTTAGCAGCAAATACATTATAGAAATAAATTCTTATATTTTTTTATAGATATATGCAGCCAGCTACATAATATTTAGTGATCACCGGCCAGAAGTTGTTTTTTGTGACTTGGTGTCCATCTGTATTTTCGTACTTAGATTACGCATTCCATATGTAATATTTTATTGTCATTATCCAGACCAGCTGCTCTCATATCCCGGTGGTTATTTTAAACAGCTATACCGTATGCCACTGAATTATCTAGAAGAGATTACAACAGGCATGGCGCATAAAATATTTGTAAATAGTTGTTTTACAAGCAATGTGTTCAAGAACACATTCAAAAGACTGAAAATCAAACCAGAAATTTTGTATCCTTCCATTAATACGGATTTCTTTGATAAGACAAGAATAGTATCTATAGACAGAGTAATTGATAGAAAACTTCCAGATGATAGTATTATATTGTTATCTGTCAATAGATATGAACGTAAAAAAAAACTATCTATTGCAATAGAAGCTCTTGCAGAGCTAAAGAAACTTTTAACAAAGGAAGTATATAAGAGAGTATTCTTGATTATGGCTGGTGGATATGATAAAAGGATCGAGGAAAATGTAGAATATCACCTGGAATTAATAGGACTTGCAGATGAGTTACATGTAACAGACAAAGTGATATTCTTACGTTCACCCTCCGACATAGACAAAGTTTCCATAATACATCATTGTAAAATTGTGATATATACCCCACCAAACGAGCACTTTGGAATAGTGCCTTTGGAAGCGATGTATATGGGCAAACCGGTAATTGCTCATAATTCCGGTGGTCCCACAGAATCGATAATTTCTGGAAAAACTGGTTTTTTAGTCGACTTATCTGGTGAAGCATTTGCCACAAAAATAGCTTATTTAATCACAAATCCAAATCATCTTGAAGATTTTGGTAGATCGGGCCAATGCAGATTTTCGGAAATATTTAGTTTCGCTGCTTTTAGTGCTCAATTAAATAAGGCGATAAATAACTTGACTAATGCAAAGACAAAATAAGATAATGAGAAATATTTAAGATTGTTTTCAATTTTTTGCATGATATATCTATAACTCTGATTAAATAAGGAGATAAATAAGTATAATTTTTTAATATATTTATTTTATATATATTTTATATTAATTAAATATACTTGATTTAAGAGACTTCTATATTTTCAGCTTAATTTTATTTAGTCTAAACTGCTAGTTTATTTAATTATGTTCTAAAAATAAAATTTAGTGTATGATTCATAGGTACGTCAAAAGATACAGTTGTATAACAAAGTTCATATGCAATGGCGCAGCAGAATTTGTGTAAACTTGCTGAAAATTAAAATTTTCTTATGAAATCTGTTATAAAAACTTTCTATTATAAAAACTTTTAAAGCATAATTAAGATTTAATAATCGTGTAGATAATTTTCATTGATTATTTTTATATTACATTAATCAATATAAAGCTTTTGAAATTAATGTATTTTATATGAAGAATTTTGAAGTATAATTGAATTTTCTCACATCTTATATTAATAAAATTAGGCTCGTTCAACATATTTTTACTCGCAACTTTTTTAAAGAAGTTAAGTATATCTCAGTGCCGAGACACACTGCCATGTTTTTTGATAAAATTAGAAGTTACGTTAAAGTTAAGAGCAGTTAAAAGCTAAAGGACATCAAAGACATATATTGTATTTTTCAGAGAGTATTTTTCAGGTAACGCGTTACTTGTGACGCCGTTACTTTTCTTGTTATTTATGGTTATAATGATTTGATAATAATTGTAGTACAATGTATGAAATCTAGATGAAATATCGAAAGACTTCAATACAATCGTGTAAAATTTTCTATAAATGGACACTGGGAAATGGACACTAATGAATAATTTTCGTAACAAGTTTTTTTTTATCTTTTCTGTCAAATGTTGTCAACTATATTTGAAAGTGTCACTAAAAACATCAAAGAAAAATTATCATGGAGAACTAATGAGTTAATTTAATGTATAATATATATTAATTTAGCATTTAAACTTTGCGGCTGCATTTTTGGGCATTATTATCTTATATTGGTTTATTATATTGGGTCATCTAAAAAGTATCCGCGGTACTTTGTCACTAGATATATGACCATCAACACACATTTAGTGACAAAAAACCGCGGATACTTTTTAGATGACCCAATACATCACGTAACATAATGCGTAGTGATATATTTGTCTTTACGACTGTGGCCTAATTTCCACCAAATTCCGGTTTAATCCGGATCAGAATGTAAGAACCAACCAATTACAATCGAGTATTCCTCTGTCGTTTGACTGTAACAGGGGAACTGTGTTCCAAAATTCACTGCCTGTACTGAAAATGTATAGTAGATAATACTCAATGTCAGTACACTAGAATACGCGATTTCTGATAGGCGATTGAAATCTTAATACAATATTTATTCCTATTCCTAATATTTCCTTCATTGTACGCAGGGTCTTAAACACAAATGGGAAGGAATAGCGATAGCGATAGAAATAACACAATTTCAACCTATCAGCAATCAGATACACTGGATTATACAGTTTCTGATAGGTGGAAATCGTGTTATTTCTATCGCTATCGCTATTCTTTCGCATTGTGTCTGGGGTTTTATACTTTCCTAATCCTCTTTTATTTACTCTCATAATAAATTTTTCAAGCGTACATTTGGTATACATTTTTTTTTAAAAAGGTGTTTTAAGATTATTTCTCACATTAATAAAAATATGACAAGGCGAATTGTAATACAACCTGCCCCATTATGAGATAGATTGTCATAAATGTCACCTACTAATATTTTTATTAATGTCAGATAAGTAAATTAAAATTTTATATTTAAAAAATATGTGTAATATAATGTACTGTAATGTAATATAGAGATATAGTTGTTGACAGATCTTGTTGCACTATTTCTTCAGAAATATGTAACAACTTGTCTCCTTTATATAAACTTATATATTCCTTTGTATAAACTTACGTATGTTATGTATTTTTAAATAATCAATTTAAATATAAACAGGAAGTTAGAAGGAAAAAATAACATATTGTATTTTGTTATAGCAAATTACTCTTTCACATTATTTTTACAAAAAGTATTCAAATGCAATATAACTTTTTCTAATAAATTGTATATATATTTTTACATATATTTTTTAATTGAAATATTTCCTTTATAGCATAACTTGTCACGCGGATTGTATACAAAAATATGAATCACATTGGAGAAATATTACGTTTATTGAATCCCATTGTAAAATAACGTTGGATATTAAATAAAATATTTTAAATTGCGCAAAGTTATGAATGAAATCCAATCAAAACCAATTTAAATAGACCAAGAAATACATTTATCTTTATACAAATGCAATTCAACTTACGTCTTACTTCTATTTTATTATATATATAATATGGATAATATAAAATATTATAAAGCTATTTCTTTGCAAATGATATTTTCATTGCATGGGAAGGTGTAATTTTAAAACCTTGAAGAGCATCTTTTGCTGCACCAGATTGAACTTCATTTTCAAATTCAACAAATGCGATATCATGCCGATTAGGTACCAAGCGCACTTCTTTGAAACCCGGAAATTGATTAAACAGCATTGATAACATCATTTCACTTGTCTCGTCAGGCAGATTTGTTAAGAACAATATTTGATTAGGTGGCTGTTCAGGAACAGCGGCATTGACAAGTCCTGAATGTTGGGGTATACTAGCATGATAACCAATTTGTTGTGAATGTTTTGCTTGCTCTTTTGCACGTTTCTTGGCACGTTTGGCTTCTTCGTCTGCTACTGGAATAACTCGCTTTGGTTTCTTTGGACGTTCTGCAAAGGTGCCTTTCATTTTAGCGATTATATCGCTGTCAGTTTTAGCATATTGTATTCTCTACAAAAACAAAGCATTTGAAAGAGATTATTTTTATATTTTTATACACATGTATGTAATACAAATATATTTATATGAATTTTTAAATTGCAAAATGCACGCGCGCGCATGTGTACACATTAGAATATTCTTAATCCAATATAAAAAAATATAATGTACAAAGATAAAACACAACAATTTTTTATAGTTCTTACCATTGGTTTGTCATAGAATGGGAAACCTTGCATTGATCTTAAGGCATTTGTAGCACTTGCTATTTCTTTGAAAATAACAAACGCCTGTCCACGCATCTTTAATGTTTTTAAAGCTACGATATCCAAAATTTGACCAAATTGAGAAAAAATAGCATACAATGATTTCTTTAATTCTTCCTTCTTAATCTTTTCATTTAAATTATTGATGTAAATTGTATTATTTGGACGAATATCCATTTTGACCAAAAGTCAATGTTAAATACTTTATCTTCTGTAAATAAAAATAATGTGTAAGATAAACATTAAACTTAAACATTAAAAACAATTAAATATGTACATATATATCCATAGTATCACAATATATATACATATAATGTACATTATATATATATATATAGATAGGTACATGTATACAATTTTATTTATATATATATATATATACATGTAATGTATTATACACACATATATATATATGCGTGTGTGTTTATATAGATGCAAGATTAGTATATACATATTGTAAAAGCAATTTAATAAGATATATATATATATATATATATGTGTATGTATATTTCAAATTTTATTATTCCAATAATATATTGCTAATATGACATAATAAATATATGTAAAAAGATTCTTACGTATTGAAATAATTGTTATTTTCTAAAAAAGTTTAATCACAAGATTAAAACTCGATCAATTTCACTTAATATTGTTTAAAAAATTTAAACAAACCGATATATATTTGTTAGGTTATATTACATTAGAGGTTAAGCGTCTATACCGCAATAAGAACCATCACAGGAATTTGGTAAACAGTGTTGCCAACTCTAATGTGCCGGCTCCTAAAAACTTCGTTAGATTCTATCAGGGTATCAATCATGAAACTTTATCTCTGGAAAGTGAAAAGTGAAAATTTTTACTATTAAAATTAATGGAGAAATTTTTCACTTTTCATTTTCCATCTTAGGAATAAAGGTTTATGATTGATATCCAAGGTAACATGCATGCAGTTATGTATATTTTTATATCATCCAATCAGTATTTTAGATCTGGCTAGCGATCATTTCTTTTTCGCTAGAGCGGAAATGTGAAAAGTGAAAATTTTTATGCATCATGTATGAATATATACACACACACAATATATATATATATATATATATATATATATATATATATATAAATTTTCACTTTTCACATTTTCATCCTAGGGAAAAAATACCCTTGGAATCGATTCTATATCTTGAAACGAGATGAAAATTACAAAAGTGAACGAATTTACTAGAATATTAATAATTTCATTGGTCAACATCTAGTAAATTTGTTCACTTTTGTAATTTTCACTTTGAAGATATAAAATCGATTCCCTGATAAAAAAATCTACTGAGTTGGCAACACTGATAGTAGATTTCTGAAAATATATAAATACATGATTTGTCTTTCCATCATGTGTTTGGATGTCGAAAGTTCCTCACAGAGAAGTTGCTCATTCAAGATAATTTCTATGTGATTAGTTGCATCCAGATGTGCAATCATTCACTGAGCGCTCAGTGAGTTCTAATCTGATTGGCACGTTCTGTCAAATCCTAAAATAATATAAACCAATAAGATGAAGGAGTAGTGAGCAGTTGTCGAATTCATTGTTTTGAACGCACCCATTATAGGTCTGTTCTTTTTAGCTAAACTTTTGCACCAGTTCACCTTTCTTCCTTTTCTCTCCAGGAGGAAAACGGAGGAAGAAAGATGAAATTAGTGCAAAAGTTCAGTTAAAAAGAACAATTCTTATATTTCTACTATTCCATGGTCGAAACGTGGCCATCAAAATCTCATTGTGCAATCATGCGATAGTTATATCGCTATTCAAGTATTCCAGAATTCGATTCGATTATAAGAAATAATATCGAAACTATTGGATTATCAGTAAACACCTTAAAAGCTATTATGGCGAATTTGCAAATACAAAAAAGTTTAATGCTAATATACATTAAAAAAAAAGAAAAAAGAAAGAAATATACAACTTGGACATACACGCATATGCAATCGGCAAATTTACAGGACTAAGCATATACGATATATACATATGAATATAGGTACATACCAACATATGTATCATCTACGTAGGTACGTTATATACCTACGTGTGTTGTATAACATAATATCTTGCACGTATTCAACATAGACGCGCGCGTACATACTCTTTTGGTTTGTCTTTTTCTCTCTCGCTCTCGCTTTTCTCACTCTCACTGACTGTGCACGAGGAGGGAGAAGGGATTGAAGAGAAGGTGGAGGAGCGAGAGCGAAAGACGAGCGACGAGCAGAGCAAGGGCAAGCCGGAAAGCAGCGCGAACGTGCGGAAGAGTGGCAGTGTATGTCGGCGTAGAGCGAACGAGCGAGCGAGCGAGCGAACGAACTAGGCGAGAGCGTGTGCGGTGGTGTGTGGTGGTGGTTGGCGATTGGTGTGTGCCGTAGACAGACGGACGGACGGACGGTCGGTCGGTCGGTCGGTCGTTCGTTCGGTCGGTCGGTCGTTCGGTCGGTCGGTTGGCGGTCGGGCCGTGATTGTGTGGAAGGAAAAAACCGAAGAGAAAGTGCAAAATTTGCAGTGCACTGTGCTGGCTACGGTGTGAAAGAAGAATAGTTCGGTTTTTGTGTGGGGTCTGAAGAGGGAGATTATCGTCATCGCGCCGTCATATCTAAGGGGTCTCGCGCGCGCCTACGCGTGTTAGTAGTATCGAGAGATTTCCCATTTTTTCCTCCGTGTATATTTTATCTCTTCTTTATCTCATTCTCTGATTACCGGGGACCCATCGATTTCAAGACGTCAAAGGACGTACGACGCGTGAAAATCTAACCAAAAGAAGGGAACGTGTTACGAGAAGAGCAATGTCCGATCGGGAGAGCCTGGACGATCAACCGCAAAGTAAGGAACAGTTCAGACGTTAGCGTTATAACCGACGAGCCTTCTCTACGTATATATCACTCTACTTCTTTCTTTTCCTGCTGTTCTCGACCTCGCGGTCAGTTTTTTTTTTTTTTTTTTTTTTTAATCATTTCCCTCGCTGCGATGAATGGATCAAAAAGGAGTAAACCGCTAACGCAACTTCTTTTTTTTCCCCTCCGTCATCCCTGCTACGTGCTTAGTGCTTCTCAGTGCTACGGCGCGGCATGTTCGTGCGTGTGCACACGTTAAACTCCAAGGGAAACGAACGAACGTTCATCTTGGAGTTTTTTGACAAATTCTCGCGCCTCCATTCCACTCGTCCGCGAGGAGATCTGATCGTACTCCGATCGTGGGGACGCGGTGTCCAATGAATCCCCCTACATCTGCGTGCATGCACAATCATTGTCTTTCGCATCTCCGCTGCCGGTTCTGTCAAGCGCCGCGCGAAAAGAATCGCTATTTTTCAACGGCATCCAGGATTCAAGATGGCCGGCTGCATGTCGGCCGAGAAGATAGCCCCTTTCACCCCGCTCTCTTACTCCGCGAGCCTCTCCCTACCTCCTCGCTCTCCGTGCACGACGCGCGCACGCACGCGCACACGTCTACACGCGCGACGGATATCTTTTTTTCTCACGTATCGATATTTGCAACTTTCGATATATTCCTCTGCGTCGCAATGCCGGTCGGGTTTTCTTTCTTTCTTTTTTTTTTTTTTTTTACAGTCGATAGCAGATTAAGCCGAATTCTCGTTCGATTGTACGCATATACATATACACAGACACAGACAGACAGACAAACGGACGGACAGACGTATGTATAAAATCAAAATTCTGTACGATACACTAGGCCTGTTCTTTTTGACTAAACTTTTGCACCAGTTCATCCTTCTTCCTCTTCTTTCCTTCCAGAAAGAAAAAAAAAGATGAACTGGTGCAAAAGTTCAGTAAAAAAGAACAGGTCTATTGACAACGTCATTTCATCTTCGAAAGAGTATAGGTAAATATAATGCAATTCGGTTTCGATCCTACATCTACTTATCGGAGCAACACATGTATGTACGCGAGAATATGCATGCATTGCAACCGGCCGCTCGAATTAGCTGCAACTACGTAAACGCAAACGATCTTCTCTCTCTTTTTTTTCCTTCCGCATTGCGTAACGATTTTGACCTCGACACGAAGAGAGATCGTTTAGTTACGATCCTACACTTCTCGTCTGTCAAAAATTTGAAACTTAATTTCTCTCTTCTTGGAGTTCTTTCACTTCGATTTATTTGCTGCATGTGCGCGCATCTTTTATGTTCCTAACCTCTCTTTCCACTATTCCGCGAATACTGCTCCATATTGTCCATCCTTTCTCCATCTGATTTCGTTCTTCGTTCAATTAAATTAAACTTGTGCCTGTTTCCACTAATGTAAATTAACTTTAACTCGATTCGACTTATTCTTCTTTTTCTAATTCTTGGAAACTAGAAAAAGATGAGGAATCGGTTGAACCGAGATTAAAATTAAACTACATTGAATAGAAACAGGCATTAGTGTTTCGGAGCTAGGAATATTCATATCTAATTTCAACAATTTTATCAATTATTATTTAATAAATATACTTAAACCATGTTTTTGTTAAGAAGAGGAAACAATAAATTTCAGAATGTTATTCGAATCAATATATTATTAACTGTAGAATAGGAAATATCTTATAATAATGTATACCCTTATAAGGTTATATCTTTATTAAATTATACTTATAGTCTAACTTTTCTTAATTATATGATTAAATTATTATATGCTAAATATTGAGTTGAAAATATCAAATTAATTAATTATTTACGATAATTATGATTTATGCCTTACTATATTCTATATGTTTTTATCAATAATTGGCCTTGTGGATATTTTGTTTTTATCAGTATTTTTAACATTTAAAGTATTTTCGACTATATAATATGAGAATGAAAGTCATCCTCTTTTTAAAATTATATTATGGAATAAATATTAGTAATTCTTATCAAAATTAGCCTATAATTTGCCTTCTACATGATTTTATATTTATGACTTTAAATTTAATTTATGTTATTTATTCATAAACTCATATTTCATAATGAAAATAATCTTATATTTATGTACTTTACATTTCATTGTGCATACACTCTGAAAGCAGTCATTTTGTATTATCAATCTTTGTCTTATATAAATGTAATACAGGATATTTACAAAGTTATTTTTAAACAGATCAATTTTAAAGAAATGTTGATATTAGTAACATTTATATAAATTCATGCATTTAACACGTATAAACTATGTATTTCTATATTTATTTATATTTAATTTTTTTTCTTTTTTTTTCCAGATCTTTTATGATAAATGGGATGTGTTAAAAAAGCAAGCTCATCGCTATTATATGTTTTATTCAATCTTTATCACTTATTAGACGTGAGACAAGAATAGAATAGTGCTGATAGTGCTCTTCGAATAGTGTTCCTAAAAGTAAGAGTCTGGCTAATCTTCTAGTTTGACTAAAAATGTATGTGTATGTGCACTTACACAAGATCTGTATAAGATGTTTCACATACCTGCTTTTCAATTTTTTCACGTGCTCAGTCATCATCTGATTAATTTTTCATCAAGCCAATAAAAAATAGGACAAGATTGGCCATACTCTTATTTCTTAGGGACACTGTTCCTCAAACACACTCGTAGAGAAATGTGTATTTGTTTGTCACTTGAAATAAATAAAATTCAAAAACATTAGAAAAATTCATTAGAAAACTTCATAAATTCTAAAATTGGAAATTATAAAGACATTGATTGATGGAGTACATGAAATACGACTAAATTCTTTTCTTTTAAAATCTTATTGATTTGATTTTTTTTTGTAATTTGTAAAGAACTGTATAGTTATATATTTTATTAACACATTTCTTTTCAGAATTGATCTTTTTACTAATAAAAATACAGTGACTTTACAAACACTCCACACATTGTACAGTATTACCCCACAAAAACAATAGAGTAGTAAGCTTTAAGCCTTTAGGAGCCTAATTGACCAATCATAATCGATTATTCTTCTTACATTCGACTGTTATTGATCAATTTCTTAAGGCTTACTACTCTATTGTGTTTACGGACTTACAAAAAAGTGATTGACGGTTGCATATATGTATATGTGTATAAAATATATATGTACATTAATAGCACTCTGGCTTTTCATAATGTAACAATTAAGATTGCTAGTTAACCATTATACTATTATACACTGTTAAATCTATAGTGTCAAATTTAATCTAATTAGTCCCCACTGTTCCTACTCAATATATCGTTATTTTATGTTAAAACAATGGTTAAATTTGATATTATATAGTGTCAGTTTGATCCTATATAATGTGAAATTGGCACTATATAATTTCAAGTTTAATTATTTTAGTGTAAAATAACGATATATTGAGTAGGAGCAATGGCAACTTTAAATTAGGTTAAATTTGATATCATAGGTTTAACAGTGTATACACTATTACATTATTATATTAAATATATTTTAATTAGAAAGTAATTAATAAACTCGAATTATCATAAACGAAATAAAAGAATTTTTATCTTTTATTTTTTTTGCACAGTATAATTTTTATTTATAATACTTATTTGATGAAAAATGAAATTTTGTTAATAAGTAGTTAAATTTTTTTTAATTCTTGTGCGAATTTTCATTAATTGTTAGTTTAAATTCATAAAAAAAATTTCTATCCTTATTTGTTAATTAATTACGTTATTTGTTTTACTAGAATATGGGAATCCAGGTGGATTGGATGCTGGAGGTGCTGACTTTGATTCCGGTAAGTACTCCATTGTACATAGTAATCGAAATGGTAAACATGAATCTTGAAGCAGACATGTAATATTCAATAAAGATTAAGTTACTCCATATCTAATGCAAATAGATTTAATTATACTAGTTTATATATGAACGATTATTAAATTAAATATATTATTAGTTATTTATTTAACAATATTGATTAACATCATTGATCGAATATTTAAAAAAGTCGAGAATTTTTTAATGTTATACAAGGCTCATTTTAATTTATTCCTTTAAATATCTCAAAAATAACCTAAAGTCTTAGAAGAAAACTTTTTAGACGAAAGGTCTAAAAGGAGACCAGTAATAATAAGATTAATTTTTGAAAAAAAAAACTTTTAATGATTCTTACATTATTGTCATTTTTTTTTAAAACAGAATT